CATCTGTCCTGAATCAAACTCTGAATAAATATAACTTTTCACAGTGGAGAACAGTTATAAGACACTTTAATCAAGTTATGAAGATAACCGCCTTAAGAAGCCTCAATGTTTCTGTGTCTTTAAACCTGAAAAAGAAAATACTTCCTATTTCAGTAGTACCAAAATTCTTCCAGTAGAAGGGAGAAAGTGATTGTAAACGTTTCTTACGTGATTGCCAAAATCAAAAAGACTTTTTTGCAGTAGTCTTTGCTATATTAGACAGCACATGACTTGGGCAATTAACTAGAAACAAACATTTAGTCTCTTTTCCCCTTTTGTTTAAGGAAGAACTGCTTCCTCAACTGAAATAATGCGTGAATTACATATTTAAAGGCTGGAGAAATTTGCATCATATGCCAAAGGAAAATGTTTATATTTGGATCTATTTTGTAGATAAACTACCCTTGTAAATAGACTGATTCCCTGTCCCTGCTACATCCCCCAGGGATGCTGTGAAACAGCAGGGTTTGATTAGTCCTTAAACCACAAGTTTACAACCTTTGGGCACAGTTCATTAGGAAGATTTAACCTTGCTTGAATTTGTATCCGAGATGTTCACAACAGTCAAATACAGAAAGCAGAACAGACTGCAGACAAGAGGGCATGAGATTTTGGTACACATTGGCATGGATCACAGAACATTTCCAGAACAGCTGTAGGATGGACTTGTTAAATAGTCTCTCAGCCTATTCAAACCCTGTACGCTCTTATTTTTAAGCTCACCCACCAAATACCTTTCTTCTTCCCCGAGAAAATGCTTTCTGCAGCCTCGTTGACAGAGATACATGTGCTGCCTCTGCAGCTCCATGGTAGTTGATCATGGCAGCACAGTGGTACAACACAGTACAGATCTCATGTGCGGCTCTCATTTTATGATTCTATGATATCCCCCACCACTTTAGATTAAAAGGAGCCTCTGGAGGTCTCTGACCCAATCTCTTCTTAAAGTAGCATCAGATCAGATGAGGTTGTTCTGGACCTTGACCAGTCAATCTCTAAATGTCTCTAAGGATGGAAGTTTCACAAACCCTCTGTTGCAGGATTTGACATCCTCCCACCATGGTGAATTTTTTTTTTCCACTGGAATTTTCCTCATTGCCTTTCACCCTTTTACTGTCCACATCCGAGAAGCTGCCTGGATTTTCTCCAAACGAGTAGTAAAAGACAGCAATGTAATTCCCCATCAGCCCACCTTTAGCCCTCTCAGGACTGAGTACTCCCAGTTGTCTCATTCTCTTGTTGTGCATCCTTGAAGTCCATCAACATGTGCAATGTGCTGTAATCCCTGAGTCTTATCTGCCAGGCTGTCAGTCTGCTGACAAGGTTTATTGTTACTGGAACAGAGAGGAAGGCCTCCATGTGAAGGCCCCTGGAAGATCAGTGCAGACACTGTTATCTCTGAGAGAAATTAAAGTCTAAACAGTGAGCTAACAGGGCTAGCTCCTTTCTTCTGCCTGTTTAGGGACAATTAAAAGTAGGGTTTATGCAGAAGGTCGCTTTTGGATAACATGGTTTCCACTGCACATGCCAGTGGGGAAGTGGACATCAGGGTATTTGCCAGCTGCAAAGCACTCTGTGTCAGGGAATCTGAATCACTGAGAGCTGGCTCTTTGTCCCAGGAGTGGTACTCTGCTGCAGGCTCACCCTTGAAACCTCAGCTGAAGAGCAGCTTTACCATTTGCCCACAAGATGCACATGCCCAATTCAGTAGGGAATCCCCTTTGTTGTTTATTCCTAAGGCATGATACTTGCACCAAAAAAATCTTCCCTTCCTCTTGCTCTCTGGTAGGGCATACAGAACTATCCAAGCATACAGGCCTCAGTTTTGGAATATGTGCTGATCTGAAAGGGGAAAACAGGTTCCAAACATGGCTCCAGATGTACTCCACTAGACATCCAGATCACAGGATTTTTAAATTAGTGGTCTGCAAACATTTCTGGTTTAAGATGTTTTTGCTATCTTATACACCAAACCTATAGAACAGCCTGATCAAAGGCCGCTATTTCTATGGCTGTGTTAGTAGGGTTTATCCTTCATCCCCCAGCTTCAGTGTCATGGGAAAAAAGGTGATCATAAAAAAAACATGGTGCTTTTATTTTCATGATGTGACACTGCCTTTCCTTTAAAATAGAATTTGATCTCATGTACTCAATAACAGTGTAAATGAAGCCACCAGAAGTCAGCTCAGCAGTGCAGGCAACTTCCATCACTACTGTTTCAGCTCCAGCAGACTCTCTGAGTTTCTTAAGATGGCTTTCCTCCTTTAAAAATTTTCTTCACAATTGTAACGATGGCACACATTGCACCATCTTGATTTTGTTGGCTTCAAATGAAAGCTGGGACTCTGGAGCCTGAAATGAGTGATTCTCCTGCCTCAGCAGAGCAGTCTTGAGCACCACCTCAGCTCCAGGGAACACAGACTGCTGTGAGGAGCAGTGTGAGCAAACCATCAGACTGGCTGCATGCATGGAACACCGAGTCTGACTGCAAGTGAAAGGTGTCTAACTGAAATGCTGGTAAGAAATGGATGATCTTTCAGTACCTGGATTTCTCCAGACAAAAGGGATTCCTTTCAGTAAATGGGAGTATAGAACAAGGCGCAAAAGTGTTGGTGGTCAGCTACTAGGGAAACAGAGGAGCTCATTTTCATGAAAACAGAACTTAAATGCAGTTGTCCCAGCCCTTCACAGCATCAGCTCCAGAAGACAGTAGCTAAATTCACGTACCTGCTCACTCTCACCCTTTCCATGTCCATGTCTAGGTCTTATAGATTTCTAGAAGTAGATCTAAAAAAATTCAAGTGCCTGGAGACAAGTCATCAAGATGTATTGGAGAAAGGATGCTGGAAATTCTGCTGCTCTTCAGAACTTAGCCAGATGGCTCCAGTCTGCCAGCAGGTCCCTTCAGCCACTGCCATTTTCATAAGCTGGAAGCATCTCTCCTAGCAAGTTTAGGACCTAGCGGGCCTCACTTGATTCTTTTAAGATACGTGCAAAAGTAGGGTGATGCTGCTGCCCTCTTTTTCCCTTTTACACTAGGAGCCAGAGCTCAATATGCTCAGCAAGAATTGGGGAGCACAGGTGCTCTCTCCTCCACAGAAAAAGCAGCACCTCTTCTCTGCCAGGAGAAAGCCTTGACCGAAGAAGCTCATAGGCAGTTTCACGGGAGGAGAGCAGGCACTTTCATGGAATTTGGCCACACAGCACCCCAAACCAGGGTTAGATAACTGTGCAGCCCCATCCACCCAGGACTCCTGTGGCATTTTCCTCTGAGTAATTACTGGGTGAAATAACGACCTCAGGCCCCCAATTTCACCCTCATACACAGGAGAACTTTGATCACCAGCCTACAAAGCACCACTTTTCCCTGTCTGCAGCCACTTATTCTTGATGCTTTTACTGAACAGTGCCAGAGTTCCAAGCGGAGCAGGGGGAGGCCCCACTTGGTGGGAAATGCCACATACCCATGCATGGTATGCAGGGCAGTGCAGTTTGCAGGAGACCACTGTTTGAGATTGCCCTCTGCCAAGAAAGGGAGTCTCGTGTGCAAAGGGGACCGGGAGGTGCACTAAGTAGGGAAGGTGCCCTGCAAGTCGGTATTTCTTTGGCACAAAGTGACATGTGGCATCCCATTGCTGTCTGGCATCCCTCTGCCATTTTTTGGTGCTGTAACATCAGCGGCCGCCCTGGTGAGTCTGGCCATAAAAATTATTTATAAGAAAACAAGGTCAGGCATATTACCAGATATTTTCAAGATTACATCACATTTTTAAAGATGACACACATTAGCAGTTTTCATGTATGTGCCCTCTTAGTTTACTGAGCCTCATTTAAAAGACCTGATTAAGCCAGAGGAGTTAAATCAGTTAAACTCTTTATGGAAATTCAGCTTATTCTCAGCTACACTGGCCCAATTCCCACTGATTTACACGTCACGTTTAGAACAAAGACCAAATATGCACACAGAGGGTTTAGCCATTTTAAGTAGATAATTCTTTTTACACCTTTACTTGGACAGCATTATATAAAGATTAAGCTCCTCCTAGGGACAATGGTTCGGGATAAATACTCATGCTGCAGCCTGTTGACACAGACAAACCCTAAGGGATATCAGCTCCAAAGAATACAACATCAACAGATTTCTGCCCTGACTGTAAGACTGTATGCACCCCCACACTCCCTCATCTCCGTTCCCCAGTAGCTCCCTCAGCTATGGGCAGTACAGGCTTCCTTGTCTGCTCTGGGCAGCCAGAAAACAGCTCTGTCATAGCCGAGGGCCATTGGCTTCCTCATGGGGAGGCAACACTCCCGTCTCAGGAAGAAAATTAGACAGGGAAGGGATGAGCACACATTTCTGTTACATTGGAGAGCAAGTGTTTATGTTGGCAGCGGGTGTGACCCTGCCTCTGAGCTATCCTCGGAGAGTGAAGGTCACATGCTGCTGGGGTGGTGCCAGCAGCTCCTGCCCACTCTGCTTGCCTGTGCTGGCTGCCCTTAAGCGTGGGCAGAGACCAGGGCACCAGGTGAGTGATGTACCCACAGCCACAAACTGGTGGTGTCCTCTGAGGTCCTGACTGCTGCTCAGCAGAGTTTGCCTTAAAAATTACCTATGTAGTGAAGGAAGAGGCGCTCTCAGCAGGGAGCACAGGGTGCTGCTTTGCTTACTGATGATTTCATAGCTCTGCATTTAGAAGCAGTGGGCAAGGATTGCCCCCACCTTCAAAGGGTAACTGGTGTGCCTGTTAACTAATGCATCTTGCTTCTATATCGGTTATGAATACACCTGGAAAAAGCCCAAGCTATGGAAGATACTGGCCGTAACACTTACTGTGCCAGAGTAGGAAAGTGTGACTGAGTTGCAGTCGGACTTGGTAGCACAACCAAGTGGAAAAAGCAAGGCACATAGTTTTCCATGTCTGGATGTCCAATGTAATAGAAGGCAGGAGTAAGGCCATGGAACAGCCAGTTTAAAGCAAATGTATTTAAGCAAGTAAAAATTACCAAAACTGTTAAGGAATCAATTGGTCTCAGTAAAAGCAAAGCACAGCTTTGCTAACACAGAGATTTTCCTAATGTCCTCAGAGGTTTCCTGAAGACCTTATCATATACTTATTGCTCCTTCTTTTTCTGTCTTCAGTCTGGTTGGGACCTCAGCTTGAGCTGCCTCTGTTTGGTGGGCATTGCAGGAGGCTGTTCACAGCTTGGAGAACTGAACCAGGTGTCGACCAATCTCTGAGACTCTGGCACAGCCTGAAATACATGAAACAACAGTGAGAGAGAAAGGTTTGTGGATGAAGCTTGGAAGCCCCCCTCTCTGAATTACAGTCTTGTCTTGTATGAGCCAGGTTGCAATAAGCTGGTACTTGTGGTTCTACTCCTCAATGGCATCTTCAGCCTTGAGGTTAGGCACCAGACTTCCCACACAAGTAGAGCTAGAAACATGAAAAAAACCGATCCTTACAACAAGTTTAGCAGGGTGTTATCTGATCCAGTCAGCAGAGAAAAGGTAGACAGAAAAGACACAGGGATTGCTGGGTGCCAAGTGACTGGAGGTGGAGATTTGCACTGGCATTTCATCTGGTCAGAAATGGGTGGAATAGGAGTTCTGGTCAGCAGCCAGCTGGACATGAGCCAGCAGTGTGCTCAAGTGGCTGTGAAGGCCAGTGGCATCCTGGCCTGCACCAAAAATAATGTGATCAGCAGGACCTGGGCCATGATCATCCCCCTGTGCTGGGCACTGGTGAGGCTACACTTTGAATCCTGTGTTCAGGAGAGATTTAAATTGGATATATGAAAAATTTCTTCACATAAAGGGTTATCAAGCATTAGAAGAGGCTGTCCAGGAAAGTGATTAAGTCACCATCCCTGTAGGTATTTAAAAGACATGGAGATGTTTTGCTTTGGGTCATGATTTCATGGTGGACTTTGCAGTGCTGGGTTAAGGGTTGAACTTGATGATTTTAGAGGTCTTTTCCAACCTAAAAGATTATATGATTCTATGAATTTCAAACCTCCACTAAAAAGATCCCAACCTGCTACTCTTGCTGAAGCCAGTGCCCTTTTGCATGTAAAGTGTGAGAGCCTGCTGGGAAAAAAGAAAATCAAAAACAACAAAACCAAAACCAAACCAAACCAACAAAAAACCCCAACAAAACAAACAAACAGAAAAAAAACCAAAAACAAAGCAAAAAATACCCCACACAAGAACAAAACAAAACACACACACACACACAAAAGAAACCCACCCTGTAGGAATCTTGGCTAGTTGAAACAAGTGACCTATAAAGCCAACCTGTTGAGAAATACCCAATGAGATTTCAGTTCCAGTCTCCTAGTCAGCATTGCTATCCACTTGATTTCATGGTTGCTAGAGCATAAAGATCTTATTAAAGATCCTTTGTTGGTGTCTGAATACTTCTGCACTGGATCTGAATGTCATGTTTAGTATCACAGAATATCCTGAGTTGGAAGGAACCCCCAAGGATGATGGAAGTCCATCTTCTGGCCCTGCATAGGACAGCTCCTTGAATCACACCTGCCTGAGAGCATTGTCCAAACGCTTCTTGAACTCTGGCAGATTTGGTGCTGAGACCACTTCCCTGGGGATCCTGTTCCGGAGCCCAACCACCTCTTGTTCATGTGTAAAACTGGAGTTTGCACTGGGCTCTGCAAGTTTGCTGTCAGTGAGGGGATCAAACACGGCAGCTACAGTTGGGAGCGATGGTGAGAAATGAGAATGAGGAACAAAAGTAAAAGCTTGGAGGAGACACAAAGGCTTTTAAGGCAGGTGGAATGCAGAGATTTGTACCTGCACCAACAAGCCGTATTCTCCAGTATGCAGAGAAAAATTCTGCATCCATTTTTAATGAACTTTTCATGCAGAAAAAAAATTGGTTGTATTTTGCCCTGATAAACACTATGTTAAATACTGAAAAACATATCCTGCCGTTCCCAGCAGGACAGAAATTACAAGTTTTGCTCAGCTGTACATAGCAATTTTGAATCTCTTTAGCTGGGTCACAAAGCTGCTTTAACCTACTTCCTCCATGCAAGCTTCATTGCTGTGACACCTGAAATGCCAAGTGGTTTTCTTGGAAGCAAAAAATCACCTTTAGTATAGCAACTAGAACCAGCACAGCTCAGGTGGGTTCCCTTTTTGTGACCTGCTTGTCAGACTTCGGATTTTATGTGGCTTGCATGAAGAAACCTCTATATCATCACCTATTGCAAACAACCTGCAAAATACTTACCAGCCAAGGCCATCGACAAACGAAACTCATCCTGCAAAATTCTCAAAACATCCTGGAGACCTTCTTCACCCTGCTCCGACAGAGAAAGCACTCAGGGTAAAAGCAGCAGTGGCACAGAGCAATGCTGCAGGATGCTTGCGCTGTGAGAGCTGGGACAGTCCCTTAAGCTCATGCCAATTCCAGTCTCTCATACAGATGAATGATTAAAACTTTATGATGGATGTGCTTTGTTCATCGCAGATTAATTTAAATGCTTTTCCTTTTGTGATACATCTGAACATGGAAAGAAAACAAAGCTGTTTTTCACTTCTGACATTTTCTAGCTGTTTTTTTCTCTTCATTTTCAGTTTTCCTCTGCCAATTGGCTTGTTATTTAAAATGTCAAGCCTTATAATGCCGATAGTTTTTAATGAAGTAATGAGAGTTTTATACATGGTACTGCTTTAAAAAGGTTAGTTTACTCAAATACTGGACTGAATCTTCAAAAACAATATATTGTATGTTTTCCCCTGTGTAAGTGACACCAAGAAGCTCAAAATCCAATAAAATGCATATAAGATTTTGAGCTTCTTGTAAAATACTGGATGATTTTTTTCTTTTTTTTTTTCCCCTCTTAAATTTTCATTTTATTTCTTACAATAAAGAATGTTTTGGGTGCAGACAGTGTTAGTGTTTGTTCATACCCTTCCATTCTTGTATGCTAGGGTAATGCACTGAGATAAATTTTTTTGAATACTCTAACTTACTCATCTTTAGGAATTTAATACCAAAGCACAGTTAAAGCCCCCAGATCCCATCTTCATTCTGCTTGCATTGTGGGAATAAAGCAAGCAACTCACAGCAGCACCCTTTTCATGTTAAGCCCATTTTTTAATGTTTACTGGCAAAAGAAACAGTACTGACAACTCTTCCAGGCTTCTCAGAAGGTTCAGGTGACTTCTTCCTTAAAACCTAGCTACTGGAATCCACAGCAATCACACCACTGGACAAGAGTCTCATTCAAAAGATAGGAAATGTTTCTAGACCATAAAAATAAAGATTTTTTTTTTATTCTAGAGAAAAGTTTGAGAGCTCCAAATGAAAGGCTAAATAGAAAAATTTAGTAAAACAAATGACTGGTATAATGATATTTTAGTTATATTATGTTAACTTTCTGCATCAGAGTCCTAATTCATGACTCTGGATTGTAGAAATATTCTCATAGTTAAGAAGCAGTGTACATAGAAACCATGAAATTCAGTGGTGATTTTAAATCTCAGAAATATCAGATTTGAATTCAGTTTGGGGTGATTCCACTTAAAAAAAAAAAAAGAGAGAGAGATTCTTCACCATTGAAAACCTGTTCTCTATGACTTCAATAACAACAGAGTTTTGGAGAGTATGAGAAACAGCCATATGAACTGAAAACTCCTCACTCACCTTGTAAGCCAGACCCCATAAAGTTGGTCTTCCAATAAAGACGCATTTTGCTCCCAGTGCCAGTGCTTTTAACACATCACTTCCTTTTCGTATTCCACCATCTAAATAAACTTCGACTCTGCCTTGTACTGCCTCCACAACTTCAACCAGAGCATCAATCTGCAAAGAAGCATCCAGTCTCATCCTGAGGTCAGCTTTTGATTCCAAGAGAAAGAGGATATATTCCAAAGAGAAATCCAGGGAGGCAATGCTTTCATAGCATACCTTTTCAAACTGAAATGTGACGATGCATCACAAGCAACTCAACATCAAAAGCTCCAGGATAAAGTGCCACTCCCTATTCTGTTTACCAGGTAGTTAATGTCATTTTCCACTGCTTTGCCTAAACTGATATTCTTTGCTAGCACTTCTGGTGAGTGCTTTATGAAAGATTTTATTTGTAAATTTCAATGACAATAACTGTATTAATGTTTTACTTTCATTTGAGACAAATATTTGTAAAAAAGGCTGATATCTAAACTGCCTAACGTTAAATTTCAACCTAATCCTGGTGACTACCTGTTGAATGCCTCCACAAGCCCCCTGAAGCATCTGTGAAGGATTTAATTTACTTTGTATTATGGTCAACATATCATTTCCTCCAGGTGAGTTCTCCTGATTCCTTAAGGTCTTTCTTGTAGAGTCCAGCATGGACTATAGTCCCAGTTGCTAGTGTAGGGCAGCACCACACAGAGATGCTGGCTCTGATCCCAAAGGCAGTACAACCAGAGGCAGGACATTATACTAGACCTAATGGGATCTTTTCTGCAGTCTCTTATACCCTTTTACCTCCTTTTAATATTTTTTGTTTGGGTGTTTTTTTTTTTTGTTGTTGTTGTTTTGTTTGCTTGTTTGTTTGTTTGTTTGTTTTTGTGTTTTTTTTTTTTAAGTAGAGCAGCTATAACTAAGAATACTAAGCAGATTTTTCCAGTTAATCCAATTTTTTTTTCAGAATTTCAGGCTGAAAACTTTCAGGCTGAAATTTTCTAGGAGTAGCTCAGCAAGGGCAGGGACAATAGTTTCCATTGTCAGGCTTGGTACCAGAAGAATATCAGAACTGACCTATGTATCTACTGCCCTGTCTACATATGTGAAGAAACTTCTATGGTAGAAGAGCAATTTAATGTGGATGCCATTTCTGTTATTATGCCCTCAGCATTTAGCCTATAATTCTTTTTAATTAATTATTGTCAGGCTTGACATAGAATAGAAGACAATTCTCTGGTACCTATTTTTATTTTGCAAAAGAAAACAGAGTAAAAGAAGTTCGTAAGATACTATGCAAGGCAGAACTGTAAAATAAGAACAATTGGAAAAACTGAGAGAAGCCAAATTAAACCAGTGAAATACACATATGTCCGAACAATGCTTGATTTCTTTGCGCAGTTTAAAAAGCAGGGGAATTTTTTTCCAGATAAGTTATCCTTTTCCTGGCTCATGAAAGTCAATAAATTCCCATTTAGACTTGAGCCTGTAAATACGCAAGCAGGCCTCTCACTAAATCTAGCTGCATTGTTTTGCATGTTTTGACAGATGTGAACAATGTGAATACATTATGCTCTCATTTGTACATTTTTGGTTCCAGAGCTTTGTTTTCCTTTCACTGCAGCGTGTAAAGAGTTTGTGTGCACTGCACCAGCTCATGGAGACACAGGCAGAAAACTTTTCCTGACTTAGGCTGGTAGTTTATCTGCAGTTATGTGGGTTCTGCAACACTTACAGAACCCTCCCAAGAAGTTGAGAAAATACTTCAGTGGGTAGCCCATGCCAAGTCAGGGATCTTATGAGTTTAAAGTAAACTACATCTGCACACACCCACGGCCACTGAACATATACAAGTCCACCAAAAGTGTACACACAAAGCTGGTCACAGAGGTACCCAGGTTAACGCAAATATGCAAGCTGTAAACAATCATGGGACACCCATTTCCTCACTTACAGTGGCAGGTCCTTCATCCAGTTGCCTTCCACCATGATTGGACACAATAATTCCCTGAACTCCGTGTCTCACTGCCAGCTCTGCATCTTCTTTCGTCAAGATGCCTTTGATGATGATGGGCAGGTGGGTCAGGCTCTGCAGCCAGTAGACATCATTCCAGGTGACGGAAGGATCCAAGCTGTTGGGTGGCAGTCCGTACTCAGAACGGTCATCTCCCTACAGCCATAGAACAAAAAGAAGCCTCATCTGCAACAATTCAGAGGTCCCTTGAAGTCTTTCCTTGCTGTAGAAAAGATTAATTAAACTTGCTAACAGACATGTTCATCCGCTCCAGAAAGCACATGTCTCTCAAGGAGAGAAATTACAGTGGGGGTGGAGATCAGTGTGTCTAAGGCGTCTGGATGGGGATTTTGAAGTCAGAACCCAGGTTGGCAGGAGATCAAAGCAGGATGCTGCAGAACCAGAAGGGGAGAAGATACGCCCTGGGTACAGCAGATGCCAAAGCAGCAGTTCCCCAGTGGTTTTGTCTCATGTGGTACATGCCAGCAGAGTGAATGAAAGGACAGGCTCATTTTACAAACCTCAAAGTCCCGTTCCAAGTTCTTCAGTTTCATGTGGGGTGGAAGGCAGAAACCATTGCGGATATCATCGCGTCTTTTACCCGTGTAGGGCACATCCGTGGTGAGGACAAGGGCCTGGAAACCCAAGGCCTCTGCCCGTTGGACCAGCTGCTGGGAAGCTGCCCTGTTGCGGTGGATGTAGAGCTGGAACCACCGGAGGCCCCCGGGAGCGGCCGCAGAGATCTCCTCCAGCGAGCAGGTGGAGTAGGTGCTGGCAATGTAACAGGTGTTCATGGCTTTGGCGGCTTCAGGTCACATTGGAGAAGAATCAGAAACAAAGTTGTTTGAACCATTTCGTCAGACATCAGATAGAAAATGTTGTACTGTTTGCAGACACTTCCTGAACTCCTGTTTTACGTGTACCCTACGAAGCACAGTGCAACTGTGCCCCCCGGAATAAAAGTAGCTGTATTTATGCACTAGTTTAGGATCATGGTTAAGAAAGCGGGAAAGAGAGGGGTAATTTACCAAGCTGTGCTTTCATTTTTGCAACTGTCTTTTTTGAAAAAGCACGAATTTTATCTTTATGACTGAGTCTTCACAGGAATGCACTGTCAGTTTCACTTGGTGTACACAGAAACACACAGAAGATAAAAGTCGTTTTAAAAGGTCAGGTCTTCTCCAAACCCATCATAGGATTTGAGAAGAGATACCATCCCTCTTTTTCTCCAAGGGAGACACTTCTTAACTGGTAACAAAGAATTCACAGTCTGAGTCTCATCCACCACTTTTATGACCTATCTAGAGCCACCAGGACTGAGAACCTTGTGTGGTTCTTGATGTGAGTCAGAAATGGGTCCACTGCCCTTGTCTTAAGTTTGCAGCATATTCCACACTGAGGATCTTACAATAGTGGTAGCTGGAGCAGTAGAGTAATGTTTATACAGCTTCCCATATGGAGTGTCAGAAATTGGGAAAGAAGTTTGCCCCTTCAAGCCTGAAAACTTTGTTCAGTCACACTTCATCCTAACAGCTTCTTGAGGTTTTTCCACAAATCCCTTTTTGCAACATGGCAGCAGACCAGAAGAGTACCTCTGGCGGTGCTTTTCTCTCCGTCAGGCCAGGCTAGCTGGTGGAAGCCAGTGGGGGCGATTCCTACAGGAAAGCTGATTTCAGTCCCCAGGATCTTAGTCCTAATGTCCATCATGGATACATCCCGCAGCATACGTGGCCGGAAACGAATTCTACAAGGCAAAAAGAACCCCAGTGACTTTTCTGAAGTTTCATGGAAACCAGGTCTTCATTTACCAACTACAAGGCAAGAATCTGAGCCAGTAAATAGAACAGCATATAACAGAGGCTCTTTGTCCTTCCTGTTCACTTCTAGAGGTCAGTTCAGCCAAAAGTTTCACCACTCCCATTTTCCATTAATACTGCTTACTGGCCACAGTACATAATTTCTGCATTTCCTACCTCAGCTCACCGTGTAGTTGGACTCGATGATCCTTGTGGGTCCCTTCCAGTTTGGCATATTCTGTGGTTCTGTGTCTTTTTCTCCCATTGTCCACCCCCCACGTTCCTTTTACTTGCAGCCCAGTCCCAGGCTGGTGCCTTCCACTCCACCATTCGTATGTCTGTCCTCACCGTACAGTGTGGCTGCCCTCACACTCTGCAGCATGTTCCCCAAATCCCATCCCACTTAGACTTCCTGTGTTCAGCAAGAGCTCCCTGTTGCATCTCATTCTATTATAGCTACTCATCCCCTTTCCTGTCATGCCATGCATACCACAGAGTACCCTACCCTATCCTACCTTACCCTACCTTACCCTACCCTACCACTTGCCTGTACCCTCAACATCACTTATGCCTCACACAATCTGTGTCATAGACAGGCTGGCATCAGACCACGCAGCATATATCATTCAGGTAAGTGCATTTTGCTTGGGGATCACCTTGAAAGGGCAAGGTCTTCAGTGTCTTTGCTTGTGAAGTCCAAACACTTGCACAAAAACATAATTTAAAAGCTCCCAACACCCCTCATTTCCTCCTAACATTACCTTTTATATGCCAAGATGTTTTCATCTCGTGTGTTACAGTCATCTGCTCCAGCTGCAAAATAATCCCAAGCAATCTTGGGTAAATACTTTTTGGCATAGGCTTCAAAGTCTGAAAGACACACCATAGCCATTGCTGAGAGAGGCTCTGAACACCTTGAAGAAAAGAAAAACATGGAGAAGAAATTAGACCCCTGAACTGTCATTCTCTCTTCCAGGGTCTCTAATGTCACTCAATGCAAACCTTGGAGCCATCTGTCTTTTAGAAGAGCTGCTGAAAGGTTGTCTCTGTCTATTGTGCACATCAGTCTATGAATGCGTCTTCTCCTCTGGTATAATGAGAACTTGCAGATGCAGCCATAAGAAGCTTGCATCTCTGTGCCTTTTTTCATTCTGTTTTAAACAGCAACCTGAAGAGGACATTTTAGGTAGCCTGATCTTTTTGTTGCGTAATTCTGTCATAAGTTCCATCTTAAAACAAGCTGGGTTATTTGTTCCACTAATTCTTCTCAAAGTTTGTCCCAGAACATCATTTGCTAGATTATCCCTAAGGATGGCTCCCTGACTGAACAATTAGTTATGGAACACAGTGATGGAATTCAAGATTATGAAATCTGGAAACAAGTAAATACAGAGTGCACATCTAACCTGCTCCAGCATGAACACATTGTAAAACTATGTCCAGATTCTGAGTGCAAGTGGAACAGCAACACTGTGGAAAAAATGAAGCGTTTTCTACAGATCTTTATTTCTCTTTTCTAACAAATATCTTCTGGGTGTTTGCATTACATGACATATACCATGAAAGGAGCATACAGAATTTGGACAAACCATGAGAAAACACTGACAAAAAAAAAATTCTGCAAAATGAAACATGTTTCTAAGAAGTACCCTCAGTCTCTCAGGGAAGAGAAGTGATGTTGTGTTAGCCAGATGTCTAATCAAACCAACATAAATGCTGACCAGCAAATGCTCGCATACTTTTGAAGTAGCCAGGACTAAAAGCTATGCAAATTAATGTTTTAGTAAACCATGGCTCTGTGTGAGGAAAAACATGTACAAAACACAGACAAAGTCAATTTGCTAAATTGTTTATTGCAATTACTTCCACAGCTCTGATTAAAATAGGCATTTAGTAAGGTATATGAAAACATGAAGTTTTTAAACAGCTGTGGTTCAGTCTGATTTTTCTAAAGAACACACAGGAAAAAGTAAATATCCCAATTTTCAGGATTAGCCTCCCACCGCAGATTAGCAGGGATTACAAATTTCACCAAAATCAATCCTGTATGTCTGATGTTGTACACTTCTGGCACAGATAAACACACAGGTTATGTACACAGAAACAACCTGTCAAACTGCAGGCACGGAGTTGTCTCAGTGATTGAGGTACCTGTGTTTACATTTAAAAATTAGGACTTAAAATTCTATGCTAGAAAAGAGCCCAAGATAAGGCACTCATTGCAAGATGAAGAAGACATGTGGCTGATTTCTTCAGTATTTTTTGTCTCATCTGACAGGCATTGGGTAGCCGGTGGTGTATCCCAAACCCGCTCTCTATGCATTCAAGACATCAAGCCCCGCTGATAGCACAAGTCTTCACATATAGACTGTGACATATTTTAAACAACGTATCACAGCTTCTGCTTTTCCAACTCTTAGAAAGGTCGAAACCAGAAAGCACAATGAGATAAACCAAGTCCTCTCACGGCAGAATAAAACAGGAATTGTAAACAACCCAGGCCCAGTCCTGTCTCCCAGTTCAGTTCTGGGTTCAGACTTACTTTGAGTTTCAGGGAGATCTGCAGGAGGTGAGAGCTTCTCCTTCAAGTTTGCCTGCAAACAGGATGTAGAGAAGATTTTCACTGAATAGATTCTGTTTTTTCTAGAGTCAATAAGCAACCATCAGAGATTAAAGCTCAATCCTGTGGTAAACTTTGTACTGTTTGTACAACACTAACGTTGTTTTGCTATCAGGTGATTAAAAATTCCTTCTAAAAATGTGCATCAGTGGTGCGATTGCTTGGGACAAAGCCCTGGAGCTGAGCTCTTTGGCAGTTGCTGATGGCTGTGCATTCATTTAGGAGAGCAACAGTATTTCAGGGGTTTTACTGAATCTCTAAACTGTTGATAACTTGCTGCTTCATGTGCTACAGATCCTACAAAAACGATAATCCACAGACAGTGTGAATTGTTACAGCCCTCAGCTACAGAGCCTGGACTCTTTATCAGCATATGTGGAAGAGATATTTTTTGCTTCCTACAGTATATGAACAACTAAAATACCCTTTGTCTTCTGCCATTTTTAATGGGCTATAAGTGCTTTCATGATCCAGTTGCTCTCTTACTGGGCTTGCAGATTCCCTCCTTTAGACCTCCACTCATTCATCTCCCAGGAGGACTGCCAGTCCTTCTTTTCCTGTGCTTGGAGCTGGTGGGACTTCTCTATGCCTCCCTCCATCTCCCCTCTTTAGCATTACAAACCAGGACTGAGGTGCGAACAGATCTTAAATTCAAAAGATATGAAAAATAAACCCTGTATAGTTTTATTTGTCTTTTGGGTTTTTTAGCCTTCAGGGTTCATGCTTTCAACATTTCCATGTATGTCTGAGATCTTGAAGCTTTGATTTTTACTAACTGAAAACTGAGATATTATGTTAAGGGGTGTAGAGGATGAGGAAGAAACTTGTTAAAACATTCCCAGAGTTTTACCAGTACTGTTGTCCTTCCAGCCCAAGCAGCCCAGCTGGGGCAATGAGAGCCAATGCACTGGGAAAGAGCTGGAAGCTGGACAGAACTGCAGCCTCCGAACCTGGTCTTCAACTGGCTGGTCTGGTCCAGGACTGCAGACTTAAAATTCCTGACAGCAGAAATTGTAGGTCACTGACACCATCTATGCAGCTGCAGTGAAACCCTTTTCTTCTGTTAGATGTATTCACAAGATCCTACTCAAACTCAAGCAGGCATGGTCATCTCTACTGTTGTGTTCTGAAACTTGCTAAAATTCAGCCTTCAGAGCTCATTATATGCCAACAGCAGTGTGAAGTTAGCTTCTGGCACTGATAGCTATGGATACAGGTGTCACAAACCAGACAAGGTGTGCACATGTAGCTAGAGTGCCCATAAGCTCTTTGGTTTGCTTTCCTGCTCAGGAAGAGCTGTGCAGCAGATGGCCTTCAGGTCACTTCTGAGGAGAAAAGCAAAGTATTCTCTCTCTGTGCAGACAACCCAGTACATCCTTGGGAAAGGACCAAAAATCCTGCCCTCATTCTTTCTCCGCTAGATGTCAGGTTTGGGTCACATATATCAAGTTATGTTGTTAACAACAACAACAAAAAAACCCAGTACTTGCTGACCTTCAAGACTTGCTGACCTTGCTGGCCTTAAAAACCACTACGATCACATCACAAGAGTGCCTGCTAATATGTTTAGAAATCTTCATTCCCTGTGTTTTATTCTTAACATTTTCTGGTGCACAGCGCAGCAATAAATGTAACTACATCTGGTCTGCCCTGATCTTTGCTTCAGCTTACAAGTTGTCTGCAGGGTCTTCTGCCATATTTGTCATTATGCTGATCTAAGGACTCCCCTACTTTAGGGATGCACATTGCAGGCAACTCACCAAACCATAAAGTTTATGGTTTCATGATTATCATAATTTTACATGAATTAAAAATAGTCTGTGCCTACTGTATTTTGGATCATATTGTGGATCATATTTCATGT